TGCGGGATCCAGCAATCCCTGCTCTTGGGAAGTGGCGTTGAAGGCTGCCACCAGTGCCAGGCCACAGCTGGACACTGGGTGAAGCGATGCAGACACTGTACCCGCACTGACTTGTGATAGGTGCTTGATCAATGCTTGTTGAGTGAATGAATGAGCGGAGAGCTTCTGCTTTGAAGCTGCTTCACGGAAGTCAGGGCCTAACAGTTGAATGGATGAGGGAGGGCAGTGTGTTAAGAGGAATGCAGATATACACGATTACCTCCAATGTCACCTTCATCTAAGGAGAAGACATGGAGCCAATGGAGCCCAGTGAAAGCGTCGGGTCCTGATTCATATCTTTGTGAGCTTCATGAACCCTGCTCCTCCTCATCTCCGTAGACGATGCTTCTCTTTGGAGGTTAGCAGGGGCATGGACATGGTGACCTCATCACCGAGTCATCTCGGGCTCAGAGACTCGATTGCTGCTTGCAATGAATGAGCAATTGAGTGTTAGCTGAATAAACATATAACATATGTACACATCCAAGTAGCAGTCATCCTATAGGAAAAACAAATCAAATCTCATTAGGAGCATTACTTTTCTTAAATATCCAAAATGCAATTATTATGACAAGTAGAAGATAGCTGCTTATTAATGAGTATTTTTAATGCTTGCACACGCAAGTCTTACTCAAGCAGTATGTTGCCTAGTGATATCTGGTGCCATCTGAAATGCGTTTGCAGCCTCTCACTGGCTCCTCATAACCCGTTTCCATGTGTCGGAGGAGTTACCTCCTCCCTGAGAGATGAAAGGCTTGACCGTGCTCACTGACACCTTGGCTCAGGCCAGGCTGCAGCTCAGCTGACCGAATGAAGTCGGAGCACAGTCCCGTGTACAGAGTTGTTGAGACCGTGTGTGTTTTGGATCCAATTTAATTTGGATTTTCAAAAGGCAGTGATATGCATTGTGTATCACATTTTCTGTGGTGTCTGGGGAAGCATCACTAATCAAACTCATTAATATTTATACAACAAAATGTGTAAATATTCATCTGAAATGGGATTCCTAAAGACTGTCAGGAGCCTGTGTCGGGAAAATTTGCGTTTGCTGCTGACTGAGCTAGGATAAACACCGATTTTCAGAGGCTGAGGTTTAGAATTGTGGACCCAGTGTAGCCCTGCTTCAGTTTCTTTCTACAGGAAGTGGCGAACAGAATTTTTTCCTTTTTCCCTTTTCTTCCTTTTTTTTTTTTTTTTTCCCATCGAAGTTCACAATGGCGGCTGGAGGAGGACAGCAAACAGAAGCTGATGCGCTGAGTGTGTGCCACGCTGGGTTTGCAGACCCTCCTGGAGGGTGTGCTGCCTGCTCGCTGCGCAGCTCTGTCCTTTGCTCCTTTGTAGGTGAAGGAACTTGAGCTCAGGGAATTATCACTTTATCATATGAACAGTTAAGAAATGTTGAAGCCAGAACTTAAGTCCAGGCATCTGATCCTCAAATACATACCTGAACCACTGTGCTTGGATGCAAGGTCTTATTTCAGTTGGCTCTTCACCCAACACCCAGAAAAGTGACCCGTAAAGTGTAGGTACTTGGTAAAGTGTTGGGGAGTGGACGCATTAATTTACTGGCTTGCTGAGGTCTGAATTGAAATGTGGGCCATGCTTGATCTGCCGTGTGGCTGGGTCAGAGGGTGGGGAAGTTTAGAGAAAGCGTAGTAGATTCATACTCCGGTCACACAGAGAGCAGGGTGTAGTTATCCAATAGCCCTCCGTATCTCTGGGGGGTGTTCCCAGACCCCCAGAGGATGCCTAACACTGCAGATAGTACGAACCCTGCGTGTGCTGTTTCTGCTCAGTTTGATAACAGAGACTTCTCCTCAGGGACCAATGGGCAGGCAGCACATAAAGATGATTCTGTGTGAGGAGGGGAGGAGTCACATCTGAGGCAAGAGGGCACTGGATGGCATGAGAATGCATCCTGCTGTTTAGAATGGACACCCTTTAAATCTCATGGATTGCTTTTTTAGTTTTCCATTTAACCATTTTAAGAGACTAAGGATAACTGAAACAGTGGAAGGCAAAGCTGCGGATAAGGAGACACATATCTGGAGCCGTGGTCAAGGTTGGGAAACGGCCCACCTTGGAAGGCATATCATGGAAGCTGGTGGCTGTGGTCCATGCAGGGCTGAACTGACTGGGAGGACGGGCTCCTTGTTGGGCTGGAGAGGCACAGAGAGGCCTGGCAGCAGGAGAGGCACCGGACAGGAAGTGCCGAGTGCCAGCAGGATCCCAGAAGCAGCATGGTCTTCTCATACCCTGGCCCTCTCCTTCCTCCCTGGCACAGATATCTTGATTTTATTTTTCTCTCTTCCTAGGGGGACCGAGGAGCACCTGGGATTCCTGGCTCTCCTGGAAACCGTGGCGACCCCGGCATTGGGGTCTCTGGCCCTCCTGTGAGTCCTTTTCCAGCCAGCACTCACTGGCTCTCAGGCCATGCAGCCATTCGCTGCTGGCTTCCTGTATGGGGAGGACTTCCCAGAAGACCTCCCTGCTAGGACTCCTTTCTCAGTATCCTGAGTCCTTAAGTTAGGTGGGGGGCGGACTTGTTCATGTGGCTGGCATGGGTGTGGAACTTGGTGTACTCTTACAGAGTGAGCCTCATGGAGGGATCGAGACTTGTCTTATTCAGAGAAGAGTACGAAACTTGCTAGAATCTAAAAAGAAAGTGATAGACCCGAGTGTGAGGTTCTAAGTCATAGCCAGTGGCATCGGGCTGGTTGGAGAAGAGATATCGTGGGAGAGACACTGTGGTTTCATGAATTTTAAGCAAAGAAAAAACATTACTTGAGGTCCTCTAATTAGCACAGGTGAGACTATAAATGAAATCAGGTCTCCAGAAGAAAATCCATGAGATAGTTCTGGAGTTGGCAGTTTCGATGAATCATTCACATTGGTCTACAAGGTGTGAGTTTGTAAACTCCCTGAAGGGTGCAGCTTCAAGAATTGCTACAACCTTCAGGTTAAGAAGGACCATAGAGATCAGTAAGGTCCAGGCCCTAATCCAGATTGAGGATGGCGTCAGGTTCCTCCCCTAGCCTCCACCTGGATTCCTCTAGACAGAGGACACATTTCTTTCGAAGCCCGTTTTTCTGGCTCTGAAATACAGAAATGCATTTCCATCACTTCCAATTCTTCCTGGTGCCCCAAAGAGCACATCTTTTCTGTCTTCCTTTATTGAATCATAGCCTTTGACATGGAAGCCCTGTTTTCCATCTTGAGGTTTTATCCTGTACTGTTTACTCTCATGTCGTTAAAGACACCAGACCCTCTTAATGCACCTAAAATTGCATTTATTTTACTTTTCCCATTTTCTTAACAGCCATGACTTACTATTATTTAAAAGAGGCTAAAGCGCCCCGTCCTTTTCAAGTGCTATTGCTAAGTGTTGGACTCCAGGCTCTCTGCAGTTCTTGCTGCTAATGCTGTTTTAACCCAGAAGCATCAGCCTGCTTTACCCCCACCTCATGTAACCCGAACACAGACTGGAGCAGCACAGGGCCCAGGCTCTGCGCGGCTGTCCTCTAGAAATTCAAACCACAGCTCAGACAATTAAAAGCAGAATTGTTCTCGATCTATGACTCTCAAAGAATGACTGGACTGAAGTGAAGTGCATTTTATGTTGCGTAAATTCGCTTTGCAACCTAAGTGGTGTATAGTGATTAAACGTATAAAATAAACTAAAATGCAAAAAGAAAAGAATTAGCATGGAGATCCAACTTACTAACCACAGTGTCACTCGGGGAATACAAGTCCCCTGTCGTATCCTTGGTGGTCTCCGATGTCCTCGATGTCCTCGAGTGGTTCACTGCCTAGCGTCCTCCAGGTCACCCTCCCCTCTGCCCACCCACCTTCAAGCGGGCCTTGCTGCATTCACCAGAAGGGGGCGCCTCGCCTCTACCCCTGCCTGCTAGCGGCAGGGGCTCATCTCAAGGTGGGGAAGGGCCAGTGGCTCTCTGTCTTCCCAGATTCTCAGGAACCATGGAAGGGGACAAGGGGGATTCCCTTGGGAATGTCTAGTTCAGTTCAACTGTTTTCCTTCAAAGACATTCAGTCAAAACCCTTCACTTTATTATTATTGGGTTGTCAGAAAAGTCATGATGCACTTTTGTATAGAAAAACAGAAAAAATACATCATGAGTTTTCTGACAATCTAATAAATCAATTTTGTCTTTTTTCTTCGGCTATTTTTTTTTTGGTTTTGTTTTTGTTTTTTATCTTTTGGCAGTTGGGAGGGACCGTGTAAGACAAGATGCAGTGAAGGCACATAGCAGTGGAGACATGCTTCTTCCTGAGAATCTCCCGCTAACAGGGCCCCTTCTGCTGGTGGGCCTGCTAGCGGCAGGGGCTCATCTCAAGGTGGGGAAGGGCCAGTGGCTCTCTGTCTTCCCAGATTCTCAGGAACCATGGAAGGGGACAAGGGGGATTCCCTTGGGAATGTCTAGTTCAGTTCAACTGTTTTCCTTCAAAGACATTCAGTCAAAACCCTTCACTTTATTATTATTGGGTTGTCAGAAAAGTCATGATGCACTTTTGTATAGAAAAACAGAAAAAATACATCATGAGTTTTCTGACAATCTAATAAATCAATTTTGTCTTTTTTCTTCGGCTATTTTTTTTTTGGTTTTGTTTTTGTTTTTTATCTTTTGGCAGTTGGGAGGGACCGTGTAAGACAAGATGCAGTGAAGGCACATAGCAGTGGAGACATGCTTCTTCCTGAGAATCTCCCGCTAACAGGGCCCCTTCTGCTGGTGTTGGGGTGCTAAGTGAAACTGCAGACCAGTAACTGGACGTGGAACTTCACCACTTAGCAGGCTTCTGCCTGGTCCAGTCTTCTCCCAGAGAAGTCACTGCATCCACCCCCAAATCAGGGAGCCAGGCAGCAGGGGTGGACACCGTTCCTTCCACCACCCACTTATAAGCCGGCTAAAATCACCCATGAAATACGTTTCTGCCTAAGTGATTCCACCTGAAAAGTAATTGGCTGACTCTAGCCAAGAGGCTGTAAATCGAATGTCTTTCTACTGCTTCGACTTACTAAAAGCTTCCGTGGTAGACGAAACCTTATTGAACTTTCATAAATCCTATTTTTGTTCACCAGCAGAGGCCTTAGTGGCCTGGGGATCTGGATGGAGGGTTCAAGGATATGCCGGGTTGGTGTGTGCAAGAGGTGACAAGGGGGCAGCGAGCGTCTCGGGTGCACCTGGGATGCAGGTCCCTTCACAGAAGCGTTGCTGTCTGCTGAGAGCCCTGTGTGCACGTGCTGAGTCCCAAGGTCTCCATATCCAGCACCTCGTGCAGTCCCGTGGACGTTGCTTTTGTGCTCTGGCCAAGACTGGGTTACCATGAGCTTCTCTGAGAACAGGGGCTCAAGGGTGAGGTGTCTGTTTGGGAGGTGATTTCCGAAGTGACAGTGTGAGACCGAGAGCAGGAGGGTACTCAGGCAGAGCGTGCCCCTGCAGGTGAAGGGCCTCTCCTCCACTGAGTGCCTGGGTGACCACATTCTGCAGAGGAGCCACACGAGGGGCGTTTACAGGCCCGTTCCTGCTGTTCCTCATGAGACGTGTCTCCCTGACAGTTGACTCCAGGAACACTCAGCCTGTCCCACGCTTCAGCCAAGTGTCCTCTTTTGGAACAAGAAGGCAGGCAGGTGCTTGGAGAGGGAGCTGCTGGCTGGCGTGTGTCCAGGGAAAGGGGAAGGGCAGGTAGCTGCATCGCCGTCAGCAGTGTGAGGTTCAGAGGTGGAGTGACTTGGCCCGTGTCGCAGCACTCGTCTGGGGCGGGCCGGGTACGGACCCACTTTGCACACCTCGCTCTGAAAC